ATTCTGAAGCACTTTCTGTGCATTCTAAGATTGAGCAAATAAGCAAATACATATTTATCACTATTGGAAAGAGTGTTAGAAATATGGAGAAGAGAAAGGACAGAATAAACTCTGCTTTGTTGGACTGGAATTGGAGATATTCAAGGGATATTCAGGGATAGGTAAATGGATATAGATGTATGTAAGTAAACATACATACATACGTGTATTTCTCAGCTTTGTCCACTGAAAGGGCCTAGAAGCAATGATACACCTAGCACCCTGTCCTGGGTTTCTAATGCCACTAACAGGAACCAACTTTCCTTGGAGAAATGGCTAATTCCAGGTTTGTAGCAGGGAAAAAACAAGGGGGACCTAGAACCTCTTATTGTGCTAAAAAGTAAGGAAGTGCTCAAAGAACGAAGGGCCATGTCAAAAGAACACAGAAGCCAGTTTGAAGGAGCTCCTACTGGTTAAATCTGGGACAAATTGTACATCAAAATAAAAATTATGACAGTAACAGATTCTAATTTACTGAATATATTAAGAATTTATCAGTCCATGTTGATATAACTAAATAAATGGAGAGAAGGGAAAGCTCCTCCTCAAATTAGAAAGCCAACTGATAAATGTAGAAAGAATGATGGAATTAGAAAATCACCGTTTGGTAACCATCATATGAATAATTGATATAGGCAAGAATCATCAATGGACATTAAAACTAGTGAGTGGAAGTCTGAGAAGTAATATAATATTTACATAGTTTCAAAAGATCTGGCATTCACCACTTTAAGCAAATTATCAAAGTTTACATTGACAGCAATGGGAGTAATCCACAGCTACGTGCTTCCTGATACGATGCACTGAGAACTCTGCATCTCTTCTGTACTATTCCTGCCAAAGAGGAAACAGATTAAACCTGAATCTATCCATGAGGAAACATGAGACAAACTCAAATTGAAGAACATTCTACAAATTAACTGGCCTGTACTCTTCAAAAATATGAAAGTTATAAAACACACACAAAAAAATTCAAATTAGACTATAGGGATATGACAACCACATGCAATGAATACTCTTGGATTTTCTTTGCTATAAAGATATTGCTGGGACAACTGGAGAAATCTGAGTAAGGTCTGTAGACAATTATTGAGACAAGAGTATTGTATCAGTGTTTATTTATTGACTTTGGTAATTGTCCTTTGGTTATGTAAGAAAATGTCATTTTGAGAAAATATATATTGAAGTATTTAGTGGTAAAGGGACATCATGTCTGCAACTTACTCTTAGTAATGCAGAAAAAACATGTATATATACATTTTTTTTCTGAACTACTAAAAGTTGAGCTGAAATAAGTCTGCTCTATATCTGTATCTACATAGAGCTCTCTATATCTATCAACATATATATATACATACATATGTATACAGATACACACACACACACACACACACACAGAGAAAGAGAGAGAGACAGAAGGATAAAGCATACGTAGTAATGTATCATTTGGGGAACGTGGGTGATGGGTATCTGGGAATTCTTTGTACTATTCTTGCATTTTTCTTGTAAATCTAAAATTGTCAATTTAATAAGTTTTTAAAATAAATTAAACCTGGGGGCCGGTCGAGTGACGCGTTGGTTAAGAGCTGGCTTGGGACGCCAGTGGGCCCTGGTTCGGATCCCACATATGAGGGCCAGTGACAATGCCCTCTACAGCTAAGATGCTGTACAAAGCTGGACCTGGAGCTGGGCTGCCCTGAGTCGCCTGTGATGGCAGGTGGGTTGCCATGGGCTACCGTGTGTAGCCAGCAGCCAGTGAGAGCGGCCAGCAGCCGCTGTGAGCGGCCGTCCAGAAGCCGGCGACTGATCTGCCTCGCCCGGGAAGAGCGCAATGATGG